AGAATTCCAAAAAGATACGTCGTACATCTGCCACGTTTTGTTTGTACAGGGAATTGTTGTGCAAAAGCTTACAGTGGAATTGCTCAACCTTAGAGGCTTAACAAGTTTTTCAGAGTAAATTTGGGGGTTTCATAAAAGCGGCTCAGATGTGAAATCCCCTGACATATATGGTCTTTAGCTTGAATTTAATTAAGTTAAGAATTGTTGTATTAACTTGGGTGAAAAATAATTATCTTAGCAGAGTTAGCACTTTATTAAAAAGAAAACCAGAACGTCAAATACATCTATATATATCTACATTTACTGATCGGTAATCAATTCATTTTTAGTAAAGAAAACGACACATTTTCTGCATCTATAAAATCTGAATTGAGTTACAAGCTTCTATGACCCCATCGAATCAATCTGAGACCATGTTAATTTTATCTCGAATTTACAGCTCACTTCAAATTAGATTTGCTCCATAAAAATGTTTCCCTTTCCCAATCCACGCGAACATTCGGAAAGTCTCAGCGCTCCACGTTTTATATACGGAACTATATAGCTGCCAATTCCAATTTGTTCAAGATCCAAATTACTTGATGGCTGTTGAAATTAGTCAGATAAATCAACAAATCTTTCCCTCAGCCTTTCTTCCGAGCATTGCGTAAATCAAAAATTTATGTTCAGATTTTTGAAAAGTTTATGGATCCAACAAGTTTGGTGTGTTCTCCTTGTCTACCATCTATCTGCATCGGCCCCTACCTCTCTGATTTATAAGGTCAAAGCGTGGACCGAAATAAATGCAGATACCCAGCCTGAAGAGACAACAAATGGAAAGACGGGGGCCAAAACGTGGGCGACCCCGATGCCCAAAATATGCCGTCGGAATACCCCAAACGATCTTCGATGCGAACATTAACGACGCCATCTGACATATTTGGTTTAATGGGTCAGCAATGGAGGCAGAACTTCGGATGTGAAATGCCCTGATCAGAAAGTATTCATAGATCGATGATAATCACGAAATGATGATGCTTTTCGGTGTGAGATACAATAGGCTTATCGCTATTCACTAAATACGCATTTACGGCTGCCCATCCAGCGATACACACTTTTTCCACCTCCAGTCTCTCCCCATAAATCTCGGCTGCTCTGCTTTTTCCATAATTTAAGAGCAATTTATTAAATGCCGCAACGCTTTAATCTGCACAGGAAAATCTTGCCCAAACTGCATAAATTAATTTAAGTTCAGGGGAGTGGAAATCGGGCGACGAGAATGCGTGACACATTTTTTTTCGAGGCGCCGAGAATCACATATGTATGTATATTTGCCATGTGCATCCCAAAAGTTGCAGAAGTATCTTTCTGTGTGTGTATCTTAGCGGTTGACAGCGCTGATTAGCATGGATACTGGGAAAATATTTATGGCAGCTGGGTTAAACGATCTTTGACGCCGCTGAGGTTCCCATGATTTTTCCTATATTTTCCCTGGATTTTCCACCAATTGCATATTAACCAAATAATTATGTAATCAAATGTTGTGCGCCGTTGGTTGCATGTTGGCATGTAACCGAAGTTCTTGAATGTCCCCGGATTGATACTGTGTGTTGTTTTCGGCTGTATCTCTAAGATATTTCAGCTGCCGTCACGTGACAGGAAAATTTGTTTGGCCAGCCAGAGGAACGGGAAGATTAAAGCCGCCACAGGTAAACACAGAAATAATTCGACTGTTCCTCGGGTAACAATTAAGGAATTTCCAGCACGTACACATAAATTCTTCACTTTTCTCCGCACGCTTTTCCCGGCTTTCCACTTTCTTTATTCGTTGTTTATTCTTCGTCGGTACTGGGTACTGGCGTTCCATTTGGTCTTTTTGTGCTGCTTTTAACCGCTGCTTGCAGAGTCAACGATTTATGCATAATTTTCATAGCCAATGTCAGAGTCGCAGTCAGAGCTCATAATTTGAATGCGACAGCAAAATATGTTGGCGCCATCGACTGCCACCAGTAACTGTGAACTACTGCAAACTGCAAACTGAAAATCTGCCTCTGTGCATTTCAATTCCCAGCCGCGGATGAAGTGGTTCCGAGGCTCAATGACCGCTTCGCTCCGCCAGCTAAAAGCACTTTGGCTCGACTCGCCAATTGCCATTGAATAAATTCATAAATCACTAAAGCGCCACTCACCAAATCTATGGTTTACAATCCTTGAAAATGATTGTTACAATAAAACGTGCAGCAAAAATTTAAATTGTGGACACACTAAAATATAAATAAACAGGAGGGGAAATTCGGGGCTAGAAACGGGATTAAGATAGGCGTAAAATATTATTAGGAAGTTCCTATTAAGAATTTATTAATATTATGATTTTAAACATGGGAAAGCACAAACAAAAACTTTTCCCTTCACCTTTGGTCATGTTTTTTCCTGCAGTTAATCACATAAATCCAAAGCACATAAAAAGTTTTCCATTCTTTGGAGTCGTTTTTCTTTGGCCTCTGCCACCCCAGGACAACAAACCTGAATTGCGCACATCTTTTAAAGCTTCGGAGGAGAGGAAAGGTTGATAAACCCCTCGAGATGCTACAGAGCAAAACAAACAGCCAAGAAGGACAACACACTGGCAGAGGAAAACCGAGAGATTTCTGGCTCTCAGATAAATTCAGCGAAAAGCGCTGACAAATAATGGCTCTGAGGCGAAACACTGAGCTTGGTTGGGTGGCGGGCGCAACCACCCCGAGGAGATTCAATTGCGGGCAAGTACGACAGGACTCCTTACATTGGCATTGAAAAATCGAATCGCAAAACGGTCGGGGGATAAAAAACAAAATCGAAAGCAAACAAGGGATGCGGGATATGACAAGTCAAGAAAAGTCGAGAGGAAGACTCCCAGCAAAGTCAAGAGGAAAGTTTCTGTTAGGAAAGCTAGTCAAGTGCCGCCTCCTCAAGTGGCCAATACATTATACAGTCTGGAAAGTGGCTCCACTTTATCATCTTCAGATAGTTGGCCACATCTTGGCACCATCCTTCGAATCGCCAGACCACCCACAGTAGCACCCTCACTCAAACTCCCACCCCCACTGCCACCCCATGCAAATTTGTTTCGCATCATAGAGCATCTGATGAATGACGTGACTCGCGCAGAAGCCACCACCACCGGACGCCCCTCGCTCTCCACGGGAATCAGGCAGTCAGCACCCGTAGCCAGATCCCTGACTTTTGTTTCGTCACGACTCGAGGTCCACCCAGCTCCAGCTCCAGCTCCAGCTTCCTCCTGGCGGTGTTTACATAACATGGCCGCATAGCGCGCTCCTCTCTCCACGCATGCGGCCTCCTCTCGGCAGCCTCCATTGAGATGGACCTGCACCTGGACCCGATGGCCACAGAGCCGGCCTGGCTCGGTTAGCCGGTAAAAACAGTAAAAACAGTGAAAACAGCGTTCATTTACGTTACGCACCCTGCGTATACACAATCTGTATACATACATCTGCATCTCGGCTGCGTACATTGTTTTGCCACTTCGCATTGAGGGCCGTTCGAGAAATTGGGCTGGCAAAGGTTGTGTATAGATTTAGATTTAGATCCACAATTGCTTATATCCAAAGAAAATGTCTCCTAACCGGATTGATACACCCATACACACGTTAATCTAGACCGACACACATTAAGAATAACTTTCATTTTAATCTCTTGATTTAAAAAATATTAAATTAAAACAAGTAGATTGAATCTACAATGGGAAGAAACATTCTTATATTGCACCTGTATCAAACGAAACAGTTTTTGATAAAATCAAACATGACAAGTTTGTCATATTCTTTTGTTGATAAAGACGGCCCAACCAGAAATAAAAATATTAATGCATGTACAAAATGACAAAAGATATGCTAAATGTTCACATATCAGCGTTTACAGACAGTAAACTTGTTGAGAAGAGCAACAACTTAAAAAAATAAATTCATTTGAACCTAATGGCAATAAAACAAATCTCAAGCCGAGTTTCTTTATCCTTTAAAACAAGTTATCCATGATGTTTTGATTTGGAAATGGCTAGTCGCCAAACCTTTGAGCCCACCTCGTGGGCAGTCAATAGGGTACGCGCACACGATGTTCATTCGCATATCCATATCCATTCCTGTCGGCTGGGTTAACCTTCCAATTAGCGTCACGTTCACTTCGCTTTGGCTCGCCCGACTGGACTTGGATAATATCCAATGGATTTACCTTTGCACGTACCTGCGCACTTTTCACCCGGTGCAGTGTGCCGCCCGTGATGAAGTTTGCCGTGGTCGCCTTGGCGTGCATTGCCACTGAATTTATGACGTACTGCGGCGACTGTTGTTGTGGTTGTTTTGACTTGGCCAAGACCGAAGGCGTTTGCGGTTTGGGCAGTGTCTGGGCTCTTGCAACATTCCTAATTGAGTTTTCTGGTACTCGGTTTTCACTTTGGCACTCCATTGATGGCTCTAATTGTGGTTGCAGTTGCGTTTTAGTCGCTGTTGCAATTTATCTCATGTCTGGAGCGGGCCAGAAAAACAAGCATCTGAACTAGCGGCGAACAGTTAGGAAAGCGAAATCGCAGATCTAATTGCCCAAATACATCTCCAACAGAAACACGGAAACACGCGCGGATTCGAACCAGGTTTGCACGGCTGGCAAGTTCAGCTGTAACTGATTCGCACTTGCAACCTTCAAAAGGGAGCCGGTCGTCCTTCGCCTCAAGGGGGTGGTTTGGTCAGGTTTGGTTTGGTCTGGGCGGGTGCTTCTGCCCAAGTGCCAACTTTATCTCGCCCTTATCTAGCGAGCAAGCGCAGGGGAAGCTCTGCTGAGAGCGGAGACGGAAACAGAGAGCCGGAGAATGCTCCTTATGGGAAGCACACGAGATGGCGGAAAGGCTGCCCAGATTTTTAATTAAAAATTATGAAGGCTTCTCGTTGGCTTGGGGATTGATTAGAATGGCTGCTGTGAATGACAGAGAATATGTTTGGCCTCTGCTTGAGAAAAATTATAAAAAGACTTTAGGATGAAACTTTAATCTGAGGTAACCATGAAACTTGTGTTTGTTTGAACAATTTTAATGGACATTTCAAACATACATATTAAAAGAAACCATTACCCCAAACTGATGAAATCACAAAAATTTGGCCAAAATCTAGAGGAGTACAAGGACAAAATATAAATCATGTCCATGTCAGTGAGAAATACAACCAATAGTCAGGACTATGGGAGTATCCACAAAGTAAGTGAATTCTAGGAAACAAAACTTCTCTCATCCAAGACCCTTTCCATGCGATAAAAAGCACCAGTCCAGTACCTTGGAGGGCGATTTAAAAAAAAAGTCGGTCCAGGTCACTCAGTCGTTGGGCGAAGAGCAAAAGGCTAAGAAGAAGGAAGGAACTATGCACTACTATAATGTGGAGACACTAGCTGATCTGCAGTATCGCTCCCAAATCAAAGTGAACCCAAGAGCTTATAATTAATAGGTCGCTTGCTAAAGTCACCGATATTTAGGTCCTGGAGAAAATTGACGACGAGGAGGTGGACATGACGCCCAAGCCAATCCCAAACGACACCTACGTAGAACAGTTCATGAAGTACAACCTGAACGTCCTTCACCAAATGACGAACTTCACCACAATGCTGGGCAAGAACCAGGCCAGATCCCGGACGCGGTCCAGCATGCGGGCCGGAATAGGTGGCAACAAACAGTCAATCGACGATCTGATGAGCGGGGTGGGTTAATTGAATCTTCCTTGCGGTTCGAGGACTCCTTGAAACCTGATGTTCCTACAGATCATGTACGAGACCATCAACTGGGACCCGTACAGCACCGTTGAGGCCCAAGGTCAGGCGTACGAGCCGAAGCCGTACACCAGGGCCTTTGTTAAGATCACGCTGCGCAAGTCGTACTTCCTCGAGCTGCACAGCCAGCCGCAGACGACGGTGGCCAAGGCATCGCCCGAGGGCGACGAAACGGAGCGGGACAACCGCCACTACGAGTACCTCACGGTGGGCAAGGGCAAAATCCGGCGACGCTCCGATAACGACGCCCAGACGGAGACGCTGCTCTTCACCACGCGGGCGGTGAACACCATCCTGATAACCAAGGCCACCGTCAGCTCGTACGTGTCCAACTTCGAAATGTATGACACGCTGAACAACATTAGCAAGGAGTTCGCCACGATGGCTTCGGTCAGGGACCTGGCTTCGTCCATGGCGCAGACGGAGGAGACGGAGAGCTTTGAGGACGAAGAGACGATGGCTGAGAAGGACAAGGTGACCACACAGATCGAGCGGCTATTCCGCAACCCCGAGTTCCGCAACGCCATTATGTACATGGGTCGCACGCTCTCGAGCAATACAAACGAGGCGGGGTTGCGCCGCTTCCGCAATTTCGACCAGGTGGAGCGGTGGAACGCGCAGGCCGAGTACGTTTACTCGATGAACGTGCTCTTCCGTCTGGTGCCGGAGCCCAGCAAGAACGAGCGCAAGGCCGTCAGCGACATAGACTTCTGCCGTAGCAACGGCGACATACTGGCCGTGGCCTATGGGCTGTACTCCTTCTCCTCGCAGCACGTGCCCACATCCGGCAGCGTTTTCCTGTGGAGCATCAAGAACCCGGGCGAGCCGGAGCGCGCCTACTACTACGACGTGCCGGTGACGGCAATAAGCTTTTCGCCCTACCTGCCCTGTCTTCTGGCCATCGGCCTGTACGACGGGAGCGTCGAGGTGCGGGACGTGAGCAGTCTGCAGGACGTCCCCATCGCCGTCTCGCAGCGCAGCACCTCGCCCGGCTCCTCGCCGGTGGTGGCCATCCGCTGGATCAAGCAGGTGGCGGATGACGGCGAGGAGGCGGACATCGACCCGTTCCTGAGCCTTTCGCAGGACGGCTCCGTCACCCGCTTCCGCATCATCAAGAGCCCCTTCCTGCTGGGCTTCAACCAGATGACCCTGGAGCGGATTGAGGGTCATCCCGAGGGCATCTTCGTGCACCCCTCGTCGCGAATCCCCTGCGAGTCCAACCGCCACCCGCAGGGCCTGAGCCTCACCACCCACCCGCTGCACAAGGACATATACTACGTGCTCACCGACGAGGGGTGCATCCACAAGTGCTCGATCAACTACCAGCACCAGTATCTGGAGGTGCTCCGCTGCCACGACGGAGGTGTCACCGTGATGGAGTTCTCCCCCTGGTCGCCCAAACTGTTCCTCACCTGCGGGAATGACTGGTGAGCACTAGTTGCCCAAAGAATCCCTTACTAATGACAGTATCTACGCCAAAGGTTCGTACGCATCTGGATCGACGGCATCACACGACCCCTGCTGGAGCTGCAAGATGAGATGACGCCAGTGCACTGGGCCAAGTGGAGCCCCACCCACTCCACGATCATTGTTTCGGTTAACCGAGAGACCGCCAACATCTGGGACTTTCGACGTAACTTATTACGGCCCATGTCCAAGCACAAGATGGACTCCTCCTTTAACACTGTAGCCCGGTAAGTAGAAGTCTGTTATGCGAAAAATGTTCGGGGATCTAATTGTTGGTTTTAGGTTCTCACACTGCGGTCGCACCTTGGTTATTGGCAACGAGCGCGGCAACACGCTTTTCAACGCCCTCGACGACATGCCCTTTTCACCCCACTTTCAATATGACGAGTTGGAGAAGGCCATTTACAAGGCCATAGGCAACGACCACGAGCTCCTAATGGAGCTTAAAAGCATAGGTTTCTTTGGCTATCCTAACAAGAAAGCCGTTTTCTAGATTTTAAGATTTGGTTTCATTGTCATTCTGAAGAAGACGATTTTGGATTAAATAATGATCTGGTTCTACTGCGAAACAATGGTTCTGTATTTAAGCTGTTTTCGCAATCTATACATTTTATATCCTCAGCTGATACAATATACAAGGGTTCATCAACACAGAAGCCAGGCTGTGCCGCAGCAAGACATAGCAATCCGTTATGTTGCCTCACCAGTTTCGCGGGAGCGATCGAATGTCAGACCAGACTACCCCGAGATGATAGGGTAATCCGATACCATCGGATCTTACCGGCCTTACCTGAGCGATCAGAACAATCAGTTCAAATAGTTGTTCAGCTTAGGCGAGATCATCTCCATTTCTGACTCGTTTGCGTCGAATATGTAAGGCTTAAGTATCAACGATGGTGGTCAGAGTGTATAGGGGTTAAAAGGGAGGGTCCAGCAATCGGTGACCGGCGGTCAGCGGGTGTTAAATAACAAATAAACACTTGTGCACACATTAGCATGGCAAATGGAAGCCCCAGATGAGGGAAAGAGGAAATTTATTAAACAGCCATAAAGAGAAAGAACCATGAAGAAAAGACGCGGGCATGGAAGGGGACCACATTAAAGACTGTATTATAAATGACCCAAGATCTACGGCGTGTTACAATTTCAGACCGAAACGAAGGCGAAACGGACAAGTAAAAAAAAAAGAAAAGAAATAAATGTCAAAATTCGAGGATCGTAAATAAACAGAGACCACCGCATTCAATGGCCGTAAATTACACAGCACATTCCTGGAGAACGGGGACCAAACAAAATCGAGCCAAAAGAAAATAAAACTGAAATCAGAAAAGAAAACGCTAAAGCACTGTTGGATGTCATCATCAGGGACGCGATCCTTGCGCCGGCCAACAGCATTAATTGCTGGGAAACAATCTGCGGCCCGCCGTGGCTGTCGCTTTTAATGAACATTTAATTGCAGCCCACATGCTCGCCAAGCAATGAAGTCCGCGAGGGCGGCCGAGGGCACGAGGGCTGCACAAGTTAAAAACAAAGTGTTATTGTCCAGCGGACACAGCGCTGACAAGGAGACAAACGAGCTTACAGAAGCCGCCACTCTACTAAGGCCATGACGAAGCCAAACGAGCGCGCTGCCGGTTCTATCAAATCAGCAAAGACGACGATTGCGATGGCGACGATGGTGTGGCTGCCATTACAAAGTTGCGAATCTTCGAAATCGTTGAGACTCACATGCCCAAGTAGAGACTTCTTCACCTTTTTGGCAGGGACACAGGGTTTACATTAAAAATGGAACATATACACATCTTGTTGAAAACTACTTACGTACTAACTAATGTATGTTTACTAATATATTTGGGTCGAGAACAGCCATGTAACTCACCCCAAAAATATATCATTTAATCAAATGACAATCAGGTGTTGGAACTATTCTTCATTCTGCTAATTTTCTTCTGAGGTAGGGATTAAAACAAGTATTTTTAGAATTACTTATTAAGAATCTGGTATGCTCTAAGGTTTGTTTCTCGTCACACGTTTCTGGCTTTGACTTCCGCAGATCTCCCTGTACCGCTTCTCTCGGAATGACTCTTTTTCGGAATTGTCCGAAGAGTCGCTGCACAAAAAAAACGAATCAGCATGGTGAGTTTTCACCTGGCGTATACTCACTCCACTTCAGAAACGTCGGAGAAATCGCCATAGTCCACCGGCCGTTTGCACAGGCAGCACTTCCTGTAAGACTTTTCGAAGCACTCATCGCAGTAGACGCCCTCGCAGCCTGGAGTGTCGCAGGGATTACGAGTCGAGCTGTAAGGGGGATGTCCGAGTAAAGTCTGCAGAGCGAGTGGAGCTACTCACGAAGTCAGGGATAGGCCGCATATGGTGCACCTTTCTTTATTTTGACTGGCGGACCAGCAGCAGCACCTGCGGAGAAGTCCGGCGAATCCTTTACTTAGCCAATTAAAACATCTGAGGTGCTCCACATTCCGTTTATGGTTATATGCATTTCGCTTCCTGCGACGGGCAAACTGAAAGAGGCTTGCTGTATAGAATATATTAGAACCACTCTAAGAGCAATATTCTTCCTTACTTCTATCATCGGAGATCCTGTTGTACAGAAACATGGCTCTTTCCTTGGCTCTATCCGGGTAAAAGTAGGCCATGATAAGATGGCGAGTGCGCAAAACATACGGCTCGGCCAGCAAGATCAGCCAGGCGAGCAGGCAGAGCACTAATATCAGAATATACTCGGCATAGTCCGGTTCTACGGGCAGCGGTAGGCAGGGATTGGTGTCTAGAACGCTTTTCTGAGTGAGGGGTCGAAAGGCATTCGCGATTCCCCGCATGATATCGGCAACAAAACCCCCGCCCTTGATCTCCAGATCGATATAGGCAGGCACCTCCAGCCCGGCCTCTTGGTGTCCGTGAAAGGACATCGTGGCAAGCAGCCAGAAGAGCCCGTAGTCAAGAAAGCAGATCGCGAAGAGCTGCAGACAAGTGGTCATCATGAAGCAGGCATTCTCAACGATGGAAACAAACTCGAAAAAGGTAAGGCGTAGACTGGTAAGCTGCAATAACATCATGGCAATAAGAAGTGACGGAAATTAAATTTGTAACCTAACCTTCATGTATTTTGCCTTCTCAAGCCGTTGCAAAGGCAGCAAATATTCAAATCCGAGCTTTCCGTGCCGCTTGTCGATAGCACTCAGTATCTTTGTCAGGAACACATTCTGAAACTGCCGACTGTTCATGTAGCGCAGGTAAAATATGGTGGCTCTGAGTGAAACATTTAAAACATAACCCAAGCTAAGTTAGTAACATGTTGAAGCTCTTGCCTACTTAAGAAACACTGTAACCACCATGACCCAACAGAGAATGTCCACGAAGCTTTGCAGGAAGATAAACGGCGACAGTCGCTGGTTGATATCCTGGATTATCTCCTCGCCCACGTCGGCCAAACTCTTGGATGAGTTCGTATCAAAGAAAAACTCGTGCTCGAAGGTGATATTGGCGTCAAACATTTGCTCTATGTTCCTCACAAATTCGCGGTATCCTATGAGATATCAAAAGATAACTAAGCCAAGAAATCGATCGAAATCGAAAACAAAACACGTACGTTCCAATATCTTGTCCAGGAGGGCCCAGCTAACGTCCCAGTAACCGCTGCAGAACACATCGAAGATCTTGGCGGGATAGCAGAGGGCCAGAAACAGTTTGGAGGCATGGCAGAGCGCCTTGAAGACCCCCATCTTGGCCTGGCACCTAACCATGGCACGTTGTGCTGTGCTTTTGCAGCGCGCCCACGGAGTTCCCATTTCCGTGTTGCACAGATCCACGACGGATTTCAGCCAGGAGGCGCAGTTTTTAAGTGTGTCAACTGCAGCGAATACAATGGAAAGGACAAGTGAACGCAGTTATTGGGGCGTGTACTCACTAATAGCGATCAGGTGGTCCTGGATGCGGAGAAGCACCAACATGGCCTGCTTGAGGACCCGGCGTACTTCCTGGAGCAACAGGTCCACTGCCAACTGGATGGCATTCACCGGCTCTAGGATTACGTCCAGCATCTGGCCGAGCGCGCGGCGCAACAGCTCCTGTCCGCAGGCGAGGCTGCGAAGCATCACCTTCATGTTGGCCAGTATGTTGGCCGTGGGTCCAACGGCAGCTAGTACGAACGCGAGACTGATGAGGAATGCCCTGCCCCGGGAACTGCACAGCGAGGGAACGGCCAGCGCCAGGATGCACCTGAGGAAGCAGGACAGAAAGCTGTTAGCTGGACTGCGTTCTCATCCTCGTCAGTTACCCACCTTACAGGTCGGCTGTAGAGGATCGCCCCGATCGCCGCCACTGGAATCGCGAGTGTCAGGTTGATGCCCAGGCTTAAATGTCCCAGTTGCCACCAGTTCCAAGCGAGTGCCACCACGAGGCCGGTCAGGTAGCCAAAGAGCACGAACGGCGCCATCAGCTTGAACGTCCACAAGGCATTTGGTTCTGCTCCTTCCATTTTTATGTTTAGACTTGTATTTATTTGTATGTTTTATCGATAACAGAAGGAAAGCGGCATTCGTATCCGCCTATCGGGCATCCGATAGAGCGCCCGACAATTAAAGTGACCACCCCTACTTACACCTAAAATGCTGAAACTTATCGAATAAAATTTAATAAATCGAGCCAGAAACAATAATAGCCTTTTTACACATGCGCCACCAGGAAAATTGTTAAATAATATATGTTATATTTACAAAGTGATAATTTAAAATGCCTATGACCAAACTTTTTTTTTTGGGCTTTGTGTTACTATCAATGTTTCTAGCTCTCTTAAAATTTCAACCGTGTTTGTCTTCCTGCCCAAAGTAAATTCAAAATTGCGTCATTCTTTTTCTCGCTTTCGCTTTTTCGTTACTTTTATTTCAAACAACATTCCTCCTCCTCTTTCAGGTCCTCTACAGATCTTGTATCATTTTTTCGAATTAACAAACAGTGTCATTTTTGCTTGATATTTTTAATGCAATTTCGCCACATGAACAGGATTTTTAAACAGAGCAAATGGATCTTTAGTAAATCGAGCTTCGCTTTGTTTTTTTTTTTATTTGGGTTAAGTGATTATTAAGTGTTTTCACTTTTCGGGCTCCTGGTGCAAAAAATACAACGTTGCAGTCGAGATCCTCTACTCAATTCTTCTTAAAGGACCTATACAATCAATTATATGATCACTCCATGTGAAATAGTACTGTTTGGTTAGTGTATTTTTGCAAAGTAATTGAATTACGTTTATGTTTAAGAGTTCCCGATAAGGCTCTTCCTCTTATATAACTCAGTCTAGCACCCCTAGAGATTTAACTTGGATAAAACGGTCGATTCGCCTCAACTATCGACTTTATCAATATACAATTGGAGTTAAATGTAAATTTACGTAAATATTTGTTTAGTACACGATATATATCTGTTGGTAATTGTATACTGCTTATTACATAAATTGTGTTGAATATATATTTTTATGCTGGACTATAAAAATCACAAAAAGGATCAAAAATAAAACAAAATTTAACCGGAAACAATTCCATCAAAGTCAAATATGCACTCAAAATAAAAACCTCCGAACAATATTCAAAATTAGTCGTATACACTTGGCCCTGGTGAATGTAAAATAATCAAATACATTTGATGACATTTATGTTTTGGGTTTTATTATTCATCTAAACGTCTACTGGATAACTAGGCACTTTTTCTATTTGATAGATCTTCGGTTAAATCCATTCGTCTTTTTCGTTAGGTTAAATAATCTAAAAATATGTAGAATGCGCTTCAAAGCTGGGAGGCAGTTTTCCGAAATTATACCGAATAAATTTTAATAAGTATAGCCAATCAAGTTTCCTTCTATAAAGACATGCCGGAATTTAACTTTATTTTAACAAATACCCTAACAAATTTCGGCCTCGTGTTTCACAACGCACTTAATTTTCAATAGTTTAAAATTGAAAACAAAAATTTTATGTTGTCTTTCTGTCTTTTAGCCTTGCCCACTAAACTCTCTCCTCTTATTTTTTAGGTACTGCAGCACAAAAGTAGGGATAAAAGAACATCTGGTGTATCTTAAGAAATTTTCTGTGTTACTTGTCGAAACCTATTGGTAAGTTCTCTTGCTTGTTTTCAATGTTGGGGAGATGGAACTGTGAAATCGCACACCAATTTTATAATTCTCGGTTAATCGGTTTGATATTGCCAATTCGTGAAACCAAAAAAAAACCGAAATAAAAACAAATTTTGTTAAATTTTGTGGTTTTTGAAATGTTTTTGTATTTTTCTTTAATTTTTCATTTTAATGATACGTTCTCTTCGCTCGATTTGTTTTTTTTTAACCAATGTACTTTACGCATAATATAATTTTTTTAAATTGTTACTTGCTTTACTTCTTGCCTTTCTTGTATCTGTTATTCATATATAGATAATATATAATTTGTTTAAATATTTATTTTACAGGTTTCTCTCACTATTAGTGGCTCCTCGTTCTATGACATCTTGTAATAAATCGTAATTTTCGTTTAATTTAATTAATTGTATACTTATGTAAGTGTGTGTGTTTGCATCTTGCGTTAAATTTATTTTACTTAATGTTAGCAAAAATAATTTACTTAGGAGTTACGAAACAAATTAAATTAGGTTTAGATTTATATCGACTGCCGCGGCTGCTAACCGCTGCCACGCCCAAAGGCGATATGTATGTACAAAATGTATTTTTTGCTTTCTTTCAACTTCGGTCCTTACGCTACACCTCTGCTCTTCTCTTATTTTCTATATCTTAATTGTAAAGATGGGAGGGGATGGGCGTGGTCTAGTAGTAGTAGTGGGCGCAACTTATACGATTACAAAATTTAACTAATACGCGCGAGTTTTAGAAACTTTTCCCCAGTCTGTCTTAAATCTATTACACATTACACTGTATAAGACTTGCTTTACACACTCAATTGAAAACGGGTGGCGACAAATGAACGCGATTTTTTGCAAACTTGGGTCTGTTCACCAGAGGCCATATTGGAAAGTCGGCCGGGGTATGAGTTTCTAATAGCGGCTCTTACTAAATAAAAATTAAATCAAATTCGAAATTCGTTCTTTCATTAGGGTTGCAATTAGAGTAGCTCAAGTCTTATACATTTCTTCATAGGGCAAATAGGTAAACGAAAAGCATAATGACAATGATAAATAATGTTAATTAGCATAGTTCATTAGATTAGAATTAACTAGAAAGCTGGGCGGTGGAGCTGGAAAATCACCGATGCTCATAGATCGATGGTTTTCGGGCGCCTTCCCTCCGTCTTAGGCTCTTTTTGCCGTGCGCAGATATAGCTAATATAGTTCTTTACATAGTTACATTTGCTTACAAAATTTACATAACAGTTACGCGATATTTTTGCCACCATAACACAGAAACACAAATCCCACTTCTCCTTATATACAATTTTCACACATTTTTCTAGTAATTCAAAAATTAAATACGGCTTGTCGTCTTCAACGATCTGATCTGCACAACGATCTGATCAAACTTCAGTAATTCATTTAAATTGTGACTAACTACTCGCTAAATACGAATATATGTGTATTCATGTATGTTGTATATAAATATTTAATTTAAGTTTCAAATTGATTTTACTTAGCCCTTACTGATGTATTGATCTTTATATTAGTTTAGATTAAAGTACTATTCTCCACCCTAAGCACAATATAAAACGAAAAACAGAAATTGGGTTCTAATTAGCACTAGAGACACGATCATTAGTTCCTCTTTATCACCTACGCCTACTGCTAAGCTTAATTCTATTTCTTCACGCTTCTCCTTCGCCATCGCTTCTTTTGCACTAAATTTCAACTAAATTATAATTTAATTTCACATTGCTACAACTAGCGTTCCGTTCACTTTGACGCCGTCTTCTTGCTCGGCGATTTTCCTGTTCTGCTGCTGCCCAGTGTCCGGGTGTCGGACACCGTCGAGGATTGGGAAGCGTTTACGGGCGAGCCGCGTCGCGCCGTGGGTGAGCTGCTGGAGGAGGCTGCGGAGGAATTCGAAGTGACAGCCAAGCTGTTGCTGCTGCCGCTCGAGCAGGACGCTGCAGATGCTGATGCGGAGGTGGAGGAGGTAGAGGCGTCACCGTAGGACAGCTTGCGCATATTCTCAATGGCCTCCGACCAGTGGATGGCGTATCCCTCGGGATCGTCCAAGTAGTAGGTTCGATTTGGCTGCAATGGAACAAACGAGAACAGAAATTAGTTGGGCTATTCGTTGAAATCATTGAAACACATTCCCCGGGCAAGTTTAAGTTTTTATCTGCGTTGCGTGTGCAGTTTTCAATGCCGCATTTAATTTGTTTTCATCGCCAACACGTGCCGGAGCCATAAACCGTCGCTCAAATGTTGTTGTTTTTTTTGTAGGTGGCGACTCGAGACAGAAGTGCTAGCGGTGATGTCATCGGTTCAACAAACTTGTGTTCTTCCGACCGTCTGTACGGTTAACCCCTTACACAACCGTAATCCAAAAACCCTTAGCAAACACTCACCGTGTGGACAAAAAAGATCTTAAAGTTCTTGTACTCGGCACGAAGCTCGGGGCTCCATGGTATCTCGCCCTTCTTGATCATCTGCACGGGGTCGATGTATATTAGCCGCGGCCCTGTGGTCAGCAGAAGCATTCGCTTGCGGGCAAAGAGGCCTTTGCGCTTGTTCACGTATCCCTTCTTAAGGATCACCTCCCCGTCGGCGAACACGTGCCACTTGTCAGTCTTCTGCTGCTCGAGGCGCTGAAGCTTCTCGGCATCACTTAGATCAAATGAGTCTGGAAAGAGAGTAGGAATTGGTTAGTCAATTGGTAAGTATGGACCACAAGCAGAGAAACACTTACTCTTCGCAGTCGATCGCTTGGCAGGCATGGCCGCACTGCTGCCCACGCCCAGCTCCGCGCTGAGAAGTCGCGATATTTGCCTCTCGTCGAGACCCGGCTCCAAGTCCCCGGGCACGCTGTAGTTGGATCGGAAGTCCTCGTCCTGGCTCACGCCCGGCAGGTAAGGGTAGATGGGGGGTGGGGTCTGTTGGCGTAGAGTCTGCCAGTCAATGCCGGCGAAGAAGGGGTGCGCCCGGATGCTCTCGTAGTAGCCAAACTCGTCTTGGGCTCCCAGGCGATCGCGCGGGTCGATCTGGAGAAGCTTACGCACCAGATCCTCGGCGTCCTTGTCGAAGCCCTGAGGGAAGTCAACGGCGCAGTCGAGGATTTCCTTAAAGATGACATAGTCGTTGCTTCCGCGGAACGGCGGCAGGCCGGAGATCATCTGGTAAACAATGCAGCCCAGCGCCCACAGGTCAGCCGCCGGGGTTATAGGTCCGTTCTGGAGAACCTCCGGTGAAACGTACTGGGCGGTGCCCACGAAGCTGCCTTTGCGGCTACGGTTGTACCGCCTATGGCGGTGGCGCGGCGAGTCCATCTCGTCCCGCTGCTGATGCTCCTCGTCGCCCTCGCCATCCTCCAATTCCTCCGAATCTCGGTCATAGTACTCGTCGTCCTCGTTGTCCAGTCGATCGCTGTCCTCGTCGTCATCGTCCGAGTGGCTGCGCCGCTGCTCCGAGCAGTGCTCCGTGGCCAACTCCCTTTCGTCGGCCGTCATCACCTTAGCGGAACCAAAGTCGGCGATCAGCGTGTGCATGTCCTCATCGAGCAGGATGTTCTCGGGCTTAAGATCCCGGTGCACCACGTTACGGCGGTGCATTTGCTCGCAGGCCAGCAGCAATTCGGCTGCGTAGTGGCGCGTGCAGGCCACGTCAAAACTACCCACGCGGTTGATGTACGGCAGCAGGTCACCCTTGCGGGCGTACGTCATTACGAAGTAGAGGGAGCGCTGGTCCTGGAACGTGCAGGACAGGTTCACGAAGCCGGGCACGTTTGTCATCTGGTGCATCACCTCGCGCTCCCTTTTGATGTAGTCCTGCTTCCTTTCACGCAGGATAAGCCGTTTCTCGCATACTTTGACTGCAAGGTAAGGAATGAAAGAATACATCTTTAGACAAGAAATAAAATATTTAATTTATTTCTAATAGATAGATTAATTTATTTATTATAGATAGATTCGAGATAGACAGACGGAAGATATTCGATTTATAAATAAAGATACATTTTTTAGAAATTTGAAACCAATCTTCCCAATTTTTTCTCGGTGGAGCCAACTATCGATAACGATAAGCCCGACTTAGATGGCAAACAACTTTTTACTTGCGGAAACCGCTCTTGGCAACAACAAACACAAAAGCGACACACACCAATGCAAGTGAGCATTAAATAATTCTAATTAAAAATGCGACATATAAGCACACAAAATGTACGCGTGAGAATAATAAAATAGCACACGAACGAACACACATAGCCAAAGTTTTTGGCACAGGCGAGTAAATTGTCAAAGTCCAGGGGACTTCCTCCCACAATTCAAACTCGGTGGCCCAATTGGACTTTGCTTGGGACTCTTTTGTGGCCTGGTCAAAAAGAGAGCTTTTATTTCTATCCCTGTCGCACGCTTTTATTCTAGTGATTTATTGAAAAGAATGCAGCGGGAGGGACTAGAAGAGAAATAGGCAGGGCGGGAAAGGCAAGAAAGATAGCGAAATGAAGAAGGAATTCAGAATTCAGCTCAAATTGCTAAATTAACATCGAGACAAACGAAAGCGAGCGCGCTTAGGGGAACTTGTTTCTGACTTCCGTCCCTTTCCCGCCGCCCTGAAAATCAAAGCAAGCCAGAGCATATGAGCAAGATGGAAAGCACAAAGCTTAAGAAATTCTAAACTGGTTGTTGAACTGGAACCCGCGAAAAGGGGGAGAGGAAGAGGGACAGAAGAGGGAGACCGAGAAAGACGGACCTATGAAGAAGCATGCGAAACGGGGTTTTAAACTGGAGCCCGGCTTCCTTGTACTCCTCCTTCCTTTCCCTGCGTCACGGGGTTAACGGTGATTATGTCAGGAGTTATGACCGCTTATCAGTAGTTTTCCTTTTGTTTCTTCTTGCCGTTATTTTGTTTTCCAATCGCGAATCCGCTTTTTGATTGACAATCGCAACGGAAAATCACAAATCGGGTGAAAACAAGGCTAAAAATAATAAATTAGCCTCGACCATATCTGCCCACATTTTATACTATCACAAATCTATAGGCAAAAATAAATTTCAAGATAATTTTGCATTTTTTTGTGCGGGTCCCTCTATTAAGATCAAAACAAAACAGTCTGCCAACAACTATGAGAGAAGTAGGGAAGCAGAACAGAGAAAAATCAAATAAAATAAAAAATAAAATTGGAATCTAGTCTAAAAAACATAGGGAGGCGATAAGTCGTCGGTCGAGTGGCAACAAAATAAACACAAAGAGGAAAAACAAAATACAGCAATTAAAAGATTAACAAAGCACGGCGGCAGCAACAATAACAACAAATCGAGAAATCAAAAAAGAAAAGGCAAAATGTATTTTATGCGTTTTAAATTTCCCATTCGATAGAAATGTGCGTAAAAATAAAGATTGACCTTCAAAAAATTGTTGCGCAAATCGTTGTGCGTTTGTAAATGGGATCATCGATACTCACAATCCGATTGCAATTATAAGCTCTATTGCTTTTACTTTCCCTTTCTTCTTTTTGACTGTTTAGGCCGCTTTGCTTTTTTTCTTCGCTTTAATTGAAAAAGTCACATTATTTATTCACTCGGCTCCACTCTGATATTTTGGGTTTTTTGGTCGATTTTGGTTAGGTTTAATGGCCCACTGATAAGCATAGCCTTGAACTTGCTGTCGTTTTTCTGCTTCTTTTTTTCCCGTGCCTTGCAGCATGTGCAACAACAAAAACAACAGCACCGAAAGTAAACACACATAAATAAACAGCCAGCAACCAGCTGCAGAGCGGGGGAAAGACACAAATTCGCCGTCTAAGCATAAATATTTGCCCAAAGCTTGCTCTCGGTTTCAGTGCTGCCAGCTTGACTTTTTGCCCGCCAAAATAGATAGAAGATGCCACATCCTCTTTGCCCGCTTGTTTTCGTCATTTTGTAACAATACAAAATTTTCCACAGTCTTATTTTCGCCACAACAACGGAAAACAAAAAATAAAACAAATCAAGTAGGGACGAAAAGCTTATCAAAGTCTAATCAAAGCACAAAGTGCAGAAAACAAAAACAAGGGAGCGGGAAAATGCATCAAGAGTGCAACTTGTTGCTGTAAGGAATGCAATCCAACGGGTTTTAGAATGGAAAAGCGAGACAGAGCGATAATGCCATAAAAACAACAACAACCAACAAGTTATTTTGACCAAGTCGATAAAGCAGTGCAGCGCAAGAGCTGGGCAGACATACACATTCTATAAATAAACCCAAATAAAGAAGCTGCAACCTCATTGAAGTTGCAAGATATTGTTGTTCCTTCTGCTGCTGGAGGACAACGACCAAAATGAGGCACATAGGTAAACTGTACACTCTGACATTCCAAGATGAGAGAGATGCTGCACTCAATGTGAGAATTTTCAAGAAAGAGAGGCTTAGCCTACACTGAAATTAGTATCTTTTCAAAAGAGGGAAAAATATTCCTCCGAAAAAAACTTATTTTTATCTCATAGATACAGATTTTTAATCGATTTTTGCCAAATAAGTTCTGTTCTAGAATTTGTGGATGTATTTTACATCAAACTGAACACCTTTTTTCTGTGTGTAATTCGCAAGGCCGTCGGGTGGCGTACAAATGGAAATGGAATAGAACCTGCCCGAGAGAGGTGTTTCAGGCAAAGTCGGTAAAGACCTAGATATATCTACAGAGATCTCGCAGAGGAAGAAAGATTAAGTAACAGAAGGGAGACTATTTTTGGTGATTGGCCCTATCATTCGAGGAGAAAAAGTGGAGACATAAATGCTATTATTGCCCCGTCAGGGGATATACGACCTCCAGGTGAGATCGCCCCAAATTTGAAGAACCAGACGCGACAAAATGCAGCCCCCGCATACCATAAAACTGCCAGGGCGGTATCTTTGTTGTTTTGTTGCTCCGATCGTCGACATAAATCTGACACAAAATGTGTGACAGACGACGATCTCTGCCAATTTCTCCCTATACACATACACTTCAGTTTCAATTTCATTAATTGGCCCCCATCAGGAAACTCAATGACGTAACACTCGGACGCTTCGCCAGAACTCATTTGAATATGGTTCAAAGAAAAATAAGAAAAATGGGGGACAACCACAAAAAAAAAACAAAATGGAAACAGAAATAGACGCCAAATAGGCACCCGAAATGTGACCAGGGGGACATTCAATAAAAAATCCACCCAGGTAAACAGAAGCAAAAAGCACTAAAACGAGAATAAGCACGGGAGAAAAGAGCCTGCAAGGGATTTCCGAGTACAGTGGTAACTGGCACATTTAAACTTTTTATACGGTATTTTTAATAGATTATTAAAAACTATTCCTTAATAAAATAACACTTTCTTAATAATATTTGTATAATTAATATTGCCATAATCAACTGAAATGAAAAACATTGAAAATCAGGAATCGAAATAATAATAAAAACTTTCCGCCGAGTTTAAATTTAGCTGCTTGCACTGTAATCCTGCATTGGAGTTGGCTTTTTATGTGTGTTTGGTGCCTCTTTTTATTGTTATTATTGTTGGTTGTTGCTCCACTCGCTCAGCTAGCTAAAGTTTATTGGCCTCTTGGAGCTGAGGCATAACTCTACATATAGTGGGGGGATTTGGCGACATATTGACTACACGCAAAGGATTTTGAATACAGCTGCGTTTGCGTGTGCAATAAAAAAAAAGTAAGGAGACAAAAAAAAATGTCAGGACACACATCTTATTCTTTCTGCTTTTTGAGCGCGACTTCCTGGCGCAATTTAATTTCGGCCATAAAGCGTCAGGCGGCCCAAGAGCCCGTCAAATGTCCTTGGCACGCGCAAGAGTCACCTAACCACCCACAAAAACAGCTGTTGCAGCCATAAAAAGAAAAAAAACATAAAACAAGGTGAAAAAACAAGAGAATTATGAATAAGCCTGGGGGAAAAGGATTGTGACGACAGAAGTCATCATGAGTTGAATGACCCAATTCTCCGGGCCAATATCAATATTACGGAGTTATGAAAAAAGACCTCCTCTTAAGGAACGGCTATTTCAGTTGAATACCCTCAGCCAGCTGCGACTGCGCAGCAGCAGCTGCTGTCCAAAAATAAATGTGTAATTAAAAATAACACGATGGAATAAAGCGTATAAACGCACAAGACATGAAACACGAGGGCCAAGGGGCCCAGGCAAAGGTGAAGCAAAGAAAATACCAGACAGCAACCCCCAAGAAAGAGTCTGGACGGCTGGAGAACTGGATCGAAAACTGAAACGGAGCGACAGACCCGATAAGAAGGCCAAACAAGTTCGAGAATGCGAGTTCAGTGGCCCAAAAAAAGGGGAGGAGATACCCTAGTACTTGGAAAATGTTTAAAATCTAATTAACTTAAATCCCTATAAAATGGTCTCTACAGAACAATGCTATTCTGGAACTTAGCAGAGTGTCTTCTTAGAGTTTGCAACATCACTTCGTTTTAAAAAGTTTACTTTTAATTTATTTTTTGGGTGCAAAGAAACTATAATAACAGTATATCTGTCCATCCCACTCTGGAAGACTCCAGTTCCGGGAAATCAACAGCTGTTCCTGTCCCCCTGTATAAAGCCAGTGACGTCTGCGCGCAGGATTATGATCTGCACGAGCACGTGCCGCCAAGAAAAATCTTCCATTGTGGGAATTCAGGTAAGTGGAAAACAAAGATAGCCCCAAAAAATGCTGCGGAATTTCTTGTTGCCATAGATGATGAAATAGCTGCGCAGGCAATAGCAATGTGAAAAGCCTAAAACCGAATTTCGTACGTTGTGCTTCGTATGGCGTCAAATAGTCGCCACTGTCGTCATCGAACATGGAAAACAACAACCAAGAGGGGAGCAAAGTGCGTAAGTGGAAGTGAGACAGGGCCCATGAAAACGAAACTTGCTGTGTTCATGGTGAATGTGCGTGTAAGTTTATGTCTGGGTGTTAGTATGTGGGAGGTGCGCGTGTCAGTGTGTGCGTGTGGGGCTGGTAGGCAATTGTTGCTAGCTTCAAAACAAAAAATAGAATTTGTAAGCCAAAAAACAAACGTTGACCTTCCAACTAGCGCCCTTTCCTCTTAATTGTAAATTGTTTGTCAATATCTGCTTGAATTCAGTGCAGCACCAACATCGGATTCAATGTCAAAAGTGCAAACTAAATTTGTTTATTAATTTCACGCGTGGGGGAAAAACTTTTTACGACTTGTGTGTGTGCGCTTCCTATTTTTAAACAACTTGACTTTGTTATTATTGACTTTCGTTTTAAATGCAATTAAAGCGGCCAGCACAACAATAACTAATCGCGTTCAGTGGAGCCTATATTTAAAACAGGGGCGGAGCTATTTGGAAAATTGCTTCATCCCCCATATAAAAAATAAAATATGTATAAAAACAAATAAATAATTATAAATTAACTATAATATAAAAATCATCATCACCAGTTCAATCAATTTTTAAAATGCCCCTGATACTACTCCCCTACAATTAAAATCCTCCTGGACCCGGCCCTGGGTGCAAATGCATTCTGATAGCCACGCGCTGGTATTCTCCTGCCCTCTGGCCGCCTCTTTTCCTCACCCGCCTTATTTGCTTTGCTGTGCGTGTTTCTGCTGGCGTTTGCATTTATGCGACACGTGCCGCCTTCTTCTTGCTGGCGTATTGATTTGCTGCTGCTGTGGCAAAATCATTGCCACCTCCCCTCTCGCTCACGACCACTGAAAAGCACTGGAACAACTAAAAATCTTTAAGCAAATTGGCTTAGCACAAATAAACAACAAGGTAGAAAAATAAGTCGGCATAAATACACACTAGCATCGGGTGTATATATATGTATATAACCTCTAAAAATCTAGTGAACAACAGCTAACAGCTGCTTTTGAGCTCGTTTTCGGACTGGTTTATTTGCCGTTAATTGAAATTGCAATATAAAACGGGGAATGGCAAAACAGCTGATCATGAGCGAGACCAAAATGCTAGATACCCAGCCTAGTCGCCGACTAACGTCAGCTTTCGGCTTCAATCGATAAACAAGCTAAACAAAAGCGAAATAAAACAAAAGACGGCGCGACATTTGCGTTATCAGACTGATAACCAACGTCCAACTGTGCTCGGCCATTATTTGCCGTTTGCGTTTTTTGTGCCGGATTGTTGGCAAAACTGATGAAATTACCAATAACAAAAGGGTCACGTGAGCGTCCCCCAAATATCTGGCTGTTTTCGTGCCGGGCACATAACACGATCGTCGACGCATTTGTCGCCTGTCATGGAGCACAATCCGCCGACTAACTGGACTATCGCTATGAGGAGCACCCAACGACAATGTCACATCCAACATGCCGTTGCATAGTCTCCAACTCTTGTAGTTTATTAAATTCTGTGAAAGGGCAGATATTTTTCGCTTGAATAAGTGGAAGATCCCCAAACTGGAAGAAACTATCAGCTGACGTGTGCTGACATACAGCCCCACCAATATTCGGCACACCCACGGGAATACCCAAAGCGATTTCAAGAATTCCTTGATGGACGACGGCTGTGTTTGTAAGTTTCGCACACAATCCCATATAGACGGCGATTGTTGGCAAGCCGAGCAGGTGACAGGCAGAGCAGCAACAATAGCGCGGCGTCTACGTGGCGACCGCATTCTCGCGCTGGCGCCAAGCAGAGGCCATACAAATGCTGTGGGCGGTCGTCAGTCGAGTGCCACACTGAGCGAAAGTGAATGCCGACTTACTGACTATTGACTAGGGTATGGCTCTAGGACTATCTACTAAACTAAATAGTACTTACTTGCATACTCGCGGCGCGAATTAATGTCCACGGCCAAATAAACTATGCTAAAACTTCCCTCGCCGATGTAACGACCAAAAATGAAATCATTTGGTGACCTTCTGGGCGCAGGATTCTGTTGCTGTTGCTGCTGTTGTTGTTGCTGCTGCTGCTGCTGTTGTTGTTGATGCTGTTGATGCTGTTGATGCTGTTGATGCTGTTGATGCTGTTGTTGTTGTTGTTGTTGTTGTTGTTGTTGTTGTTGTTGTTGTTGTTGTTGTTGTTGTTGTTGCTGCTGCTGCTGTCGTTGTTGTTGCTGCATTAGCAGCTGTTGTTGCGCCTGTTGCTGATGTTGCGCCTGCTGCTGATGCAACATGTCCAGGAACTGTAGCTCCTTCTGCTGCCTCAGCTCAGACATGCCATTCTGGTACTGTTGCAGACAGCACAACTTGCTGCACTGCGGCGTTGTGGCCACCGACGAACTGTTGCTGGCAACCGCTGCCGCCAAAGGCGAAGTGTGACCTGCGAGAGGAAAAACAGAGAGAGATTGCGTTAATGTCACAGCAGCAACATGTTGCCATGGGCATGATGCCTAAAGAGTCAATGAATTATCATACATTTTTCAAAGGTATTAAAGAAATCTGAAACTATTTAGCAAAGTGACTAGCTTATTTGAAAATATTAATTTAATTTACTTTATCTTACCATTTGTCATATACTTGTTGCTGCTGCTGCCATAGCGACTGTTGTTGTTGCTCTCAGTGGCTGCCGCCGCTACCGCTCCACAACCACATGTGTGTTGCTGGTGCAGCCGCGTTGCCGCCGATGTTGCCATGGCTCCGACGACCACAGCCAGGTCCTTCAGGTTGATATCCCTGAAATTCGACTCGCCCAAAGACACTGGTGCTGAGGCTTTCTCCTTGGCCATAGCCGGCATTGTTGCCGCTGTCGCCGGTGTTGCTGTGGTGGCAGCAATGTTGAACTGATGCTGCTCGATGCTGTTGCTGCTGCAATGGTCGTTGCAATCTGTTGTGTTGCTACTGCTCGAGGCGGCAGCTACCGAGACGACGGCGGCCGCTGCGATTATTCCGCTGGCGCCGCTGCTTGGCGATTGGAGTTGTTGCTGTGTACCGTTAATCTGCGAAAATATAGACGGGGATATACATGATTAGAATCCAGCCGAGAGATTTTGGTATAATGATTTTGTCTGGCAAAATCAAATAAATTAGATAATGATGTCCCAATTTGTTCATTATAATTTATAATTCGCTGCCTTAATAATTCCAGTTTATGAAGATAAGATTATGGAGCGCACATGCTTGCAGTTTAGTATAAATTATTTACTCCAGATCCAATTTGTGTTTGCGTTGCTGATCTATTATATCGATTTGACTTGCAAAATTGCTGGTAACCCCTTCGATCACTGAAATAAGGCAGCAATGACGTCTGATGATCAAGACTGTCTTCCTAACAATTCATAAAATTGTTTCTTGTCTTTGACAATGACCACGAGTTCTTACTGAGATCTATTTATAAAAAAAAACCCTAGCTCAACCCCTATAACTCACTTCCTTTCCACTGATAATCAGAGGCTTATATTGAAAGAGGAATTGAACACGCAATAAATTAAGTTTCTGCTGCGCAGACGCAAAGCCTCCTAAGAAAAAGAAAAAGCATGAGTCGGGGCTTTAAAGCGGAACTCAAGAACAGGTCCACAAAAGGCAGCAGCAAGAACAAAAACAACCGACCGGCCACCAACAACATTAACTGTCTGCCCAATGGACCGCCATTGACGTCAAGTTCATTGCCGTGTTGTTTTTGCCCTCCGCTCTATGTTTTACTTTGTGTGATTTTGGCGGGTTCAAGGACTTGGAGCATAAAAATATAATAAAGTTCATTGCCACCTGTTTACAATTCTATTAGAAGTTTATGCTGTTGGACTTTGGCTTTGTTCATTTGTTTTCGTTCATTCGCTCGCTTGTTCGTTCGTTCGTGCTTCTTTGTTGACCAGTTTTTCATTAAGCGAATACAATTTCTGTGGCGTGATTTCTCAAGGAATTAAAGCCGCGGGGGGAAGCCCTCAGCTACTATAGACCGCAAGCCCAAAGTGTGAAGTGCTTAGCACATTAATAAATAAAATGTGCAACTATACTAAAGCAATAGGCAAAATCACAGCTCAGATAACAAACGAAATATGCTTCAACCCAGATTATTAATTATGCAACACAGACACACCATAAAACCAAGCAACAAAACACAGAAAATTTAAATAAAAATCAAAAAGCCATAAAAACAAGGTGAGCAAATGCGTCAATGAAAGTTTCAGCTGGTATCTAATTTTAGAGCAACAAAGAGCCAAAGATTAAGATACGAATGGAACCAGGCTTGGGTATTTGAGACCTGACCTGGGAACCAAGGCGAACAAAAGAAGAGACAAGAAGCTTCGATCCATTTCAATAATGATCGTCTGGGAAGGGCCCCAAGGGCCCGTCCCTAAAACAGGTGTACTATCTACGGCACAACAACAAACTCTCAATGAAAATAGTTGTTGTTCGGGGTCCGACGTGCGTCACTCAGATTGGAATGCGGTTGGTTTACTTTTTAGACTCGCAGCACTCGCAACCCAAATGGAAATCAGAGAAATATTGGGCCCCGAAAGATTCGGTCTCTCTCTCTCTATGTTAAGACATGACCTCAACAATCCTCCCTGATACACCCACGAGTCAATGTAAACAAAATAAACATAAAACTTTTCAATACTTGAACTCTACGGCTTCAAGGCACAACAAAAAAGTTGCCAACCTACTTTTTTTTTTTTTTTTTTAATTTTTTGGCGACTGCGTGGCTAATTAAGCCAACGATCTGCGTCAGTGGTTAAAACTGGTCAACCAATTGGTGAGTGGCACAAAAAGCTACTGAGGCCAATAACAAAACAGGAAATACCCAAATACCGAGTTGTATTGTTTTCCATTACATGGGTTAAACCAGATTTCTACTTCACCGCGGCTCTGAAAACTTATTTGCATCGCGACGAACATTATAGTCATTAAGATATCACGAAAATCCATAAAGATGCTATGGAAAAATTTTAAAGAATTAAGAAAGTTTCCCCAGAGTGGGCGTGTGCTGGGGCCAGAAAAGCAGAAAATTTGAAGAACGAAAGCCATATGACACAAGTCCGAGTCCGATCCTATATATGCATTATGTAGTGGATGGCATGTTGATATATGTAACTGATCTATAAACATAGAGCAGAACCGCCCGACGTCTCGTTGTCGGCGTCGTCTGCGGCGTCTAGACAAAAATGACATTTAAATTAATCTATTTTATTGCCAGGCCAACGCCGTTGGACGTTCTGCTGCCACCTCAGGCCGAACCGAACCGATCCCCCTTTCGCGCGCCCCTGTGTCTGTGTTCAATTTATATTTATAAATAAGATTTTCGTCTACAGAATGCAGCCAATTGAAAGCAAAAATGCACAAGAGGGGACGTTTGATTAGAAATAGCCAGAAAAGGGGTAAAGCCAGAGGGGTTCGTGTCTATCTCAAGGTATGTGGCCAAAGTTTATTGCGAAAGGAAAACCAAAACCGTACACGCTAAATATACACAAAATGTTTTTAATTTTGGCACAACATTAAAATTGAAAATTGCTGGTCGAGGCCACACACGCAGTAAAAAGCCGTAAAAAAAAAAGTGTAAAACTATCAATAGTGATTTTGCTTGTTTCCTTGTCGAATGGCAAACACGAGTCCCTTAAAATTTGTTGGAAAATATTATTATTATTATTATATTATTATTATTATATTATTAATATTAATTATTAATATCCGGATTCTAAATAAGAAGGCTGTAACAGCTCTAAACTATTTAATCACAGTACTTGTTAGTTGCTGAAGTTCCTCTTCGGAATTATAATCTTCTCTTAACAACCAAATACCTGAAACAACCAGATAGTGCAAGTGTAAGCTACTAAGTGGGCGGGTCATTAACGCCTTGCTGGCATCAACAGACACCATTTTTATACACAAAGAGCGATAAACAATTCGCTGAAATTTTTCAGTTTTTTATGCCCGTTCTTCTATCTTTAGCCAACGCCTTTTGTTGCCACAGATCAGACGATTATTTACTTTTTTTTTTGGGGAACCCGAGACACATTTATTCCATAACTTAGGCAGTTTCTTTGAGTGTGGTAGGTTTTTTTAGAGGGCTAAGCAATCGGCACAATACCTGCATTATGTCCATTTTAAAAATTCTTTGTAATGAAAATTTGAACGGGAAATTTTGAACTTGTGGCTCTGCTCGGCTTTGTTTTTTAAGGCAAGGCCTGCTGTGTGTGTTTAATCAAAATACCGCCTATTATACTAACGTCTATTGAGTGTGTAAATGTACATGTCATTTTTTTTAGAATTATTTTATAGAATTATTGCCAAGTATAAACTAAAACACGACACGGTGTAAAAAGCGCATAACCCAATAGTAAAAGTGCGCTTATGAATGAAATGCACGCGGAGAGAGCAAAACAAGAATGCAAATGCAACGGCTCCCGCTCACACACACACACTTACGTTTAAGCGTTGGGGCATCGACGATTACAAAACCATCTCTCTCTCACTCTCTCTTTCCCACTCTCCTATACTAGGCGGGTGAAAGAGAGCAAGATGGCTTATACGGTCGCTCTCTGTTTGTGTATGTTGTAATTGCGATTTGGGGTACAAATTCCAATGGGCACACGCAGTAAGAAGAAGAGCCAGCGTACAAACACACTCTATACTCTATAAAGCGCGCGTATTTTTTCGGCTCTGCGCGTGTCTTTGTGCAGATGTGTATGTGGGGGTTTTAAATTTTATTTATTTGCTCGTTTTGATTTTTCACACTCCCGTTTTTTTCTGTTTTTTGCTTTGCAGAAATTAATAATCTCACGTAGTATATGTTTGTTGAAACAAAACACAAAAATTTGCCAAAACAACAACAATAACAATAATCAAGACAATAATTCCGACGCAGTAGGAAAATTTTCAACAATCGACACGCTGTTTTTTTTTTATTTGATAGGAACTTATTCACTTTTATACGTTTACTATTTTAATTTGACTAATGAAAACAATTGGTTATATATTTTGAACACAACACGGAGGAGGACACTTATTTTGATTCCGATTCCGATTTTATGTAATTTGTTTGGCCTTTTGTGGAGTATTATTTAATCGCACCACACACATACATACATATATGAATATCAATGCCAGCGCGGCGTGGGTGTGTGCGTGTGCGTGAGTGGAGCCCGCGTGCACGAAGCGTCCGGTTTGAAATCCAATAAGAAACTGACATCCAATTCGCAGTCTCGCGGTCTGCGACGCTCTCCCGCTCTCTCGTGGGCGGAGAAGAGCCGAGCGACACACGAGGGGCGACTGCGCTCTCTTGTGCCTCCATACCGCTCTCTCTTTCTAGCCCAGTTAAATGGGGTCGCAATTTTTTACAAGGCGAACAAGTTGCGCGCCACTTTTGAGAGCGTAATTGTTGCACTGTAATTGTTTGCCAGCGACTTTTTATAAATAAACAAGGCAAAAACAAGTTCCAATCCAAATCTATAAGTGCAAAGAGCACGAGCAACCGTTCTCTTTCTGTATAAGAGAGGGCGACCGCATTCCTAACTGTAAACAACCAAGAAGCAGAGTCAGCGGCAGAGAGCGAAAGAGACAAGGAGAGGGAGGGCCAAGAATGCGGCGCTGCTGGAAAAACTCGTTTTTCCCGCTGGAAAATGTGGACAAAGAAGAATTTGAGGAATTTTCGCGCGAGAGAGGGATTGTGTAAAAATAAACAAAGCCATGGGGAGGGGGAAAGGAATACACACACACGGAAAACAAGGAAGTGGAAAGGAAAAGCAGCAAAACAGAGCGGACAAAACAAAATGCGTACAAAGCGAAGGGGCAGGGCAAAGCGGAGAAGGTAAGGAGAGACGTAGTAAACAAAGAGAGCGACGGGACGGCAACTTCAAATGTAAATAAATATTATAAAATATGTATGTGAGCAGCGTGTGTGTAACAACAGTAATAATAATAACAACAACAAATCGAGCAACAGACATGCAAGTGAAAGGCGTCTGCGTTTTTGTTTCTTTCCTCTACTTCTCGAGTTATTTGCAAAAAGGAAACGGCAAAACGGAGATAAAGTGGTTAAGAAAGAAAGATAGGAAGGGAGGAAGAAATATGGAGAGAAGAAGGGGTAAAAACATCATATTTGGTTGATTGCAAGAGAAAATGAAATAAATAAATGATTTATTGCCTCTTCAGCTAATAAAAACAAATTAAAAGTGCAAAAAACAATAAAATGTTGTCTAGATACCAGCTCAACATAAAGAAAAAAAACCACTGGCAACATAAAAACATTTTTTTTTTTTCGGTGAGTTTTTTTAAAAGCAAACGGAGCTTGAGGCAATGAACTGCAGTTGTCAAATAAGTTAAGTTAACTCCCGCTTGTCTGAAATTTGTATAAATGAATATTATTTTGGTTGCAAAGAGTGCGCTTTATTAAGGTGCCAGCAAATTAATTATACTCATATACTGACTATTAATATTGACCTATACATAGACATTTAAGCATATGAAAATTTATTCATATCAACTCCATTTAGATGGGTTTTAAAGCAGCCATTGTATTATCTTATTTTATTACCCACTTTGTGAGGACTTTACGACTTTGATCTTTGATTTTGTAAGCCAATGGAAAGTTTTTAAATTTAATATATTTAAACGAGAACCTCCCAAATTATGTATAAATTACTTTTTTACAGATAAGGCAGCCAGACAGAACATTAGAAGAATTTCGGTCTAACGAAATTAATTTTTTTGCTTTGTAAAATATTTAATTAAATATATTTGTTGCGGAATTTTAAATCCACTTTAACAGGTCTTAAGAAATTCAACTTATTGCCAATTAAGTTATTATTTTAAAAAAAAAACACAATTTTCATAATTTTTGATGTGGTTATATTTACACCTAATTTTTGTTCAGTTTTTCAAAGTTCTTTCATTATCCTCCAAACTTGAGTTCAGAAAACAATTTCATTAAACGAAACAATATAAAAATGGTCCTTTTCTCGAAATGCAATTATAAATAAAGTGAAAACGAAATATTTTACAACTTGTTATTAGTTTTATTTTTTAAACCTATTCTACACATTTTTTGGAGTTACAAAGGCTTACAATTTTTCCCTATTTCATTTTTGACAAAAACTGTCTGCTTTTTATGTTTCCTAACTACTTTGTAGAATATTTACCTTGATAGACTTTAGTTTGCGCACAACGTAGTTGTTGATTTTGTTGGACCAGCTTTTACATTTCATGGTATTTTTTGCAGTCTCCTCCGTTTTCGGGGAGAAGGAGAAGCTGAAGACAACGGTAAACGAATTGCTTTTGTCAGCCGCTCTCCTCGCTCATAATTTTGGTTGCTTTTCTTTTCACTGTTTTTTCCACTAATTATTTTATTGCGCTGTCTTGTTTTGCCGTTTCAGTTCACTATTTATCTGTTTACTTGTGGTTTCTCGGCGCCAGTTGCAAAACAGTTTGAATTGGAAATCGCACTGGCTTCTCCTTTGGCTTGAGTTCTGTGCTTAGGAGCGCGCGGTCGTGATCGATTTCTGATTTAAAAAGATCACTTATTTTAAAAATGTCACTCGTATTAAGGATCAATGTTCGTCCGCACTATTTAACTCCAGTTCTTGCGCGCGGTTAGCGGTTTCACTCCAGTTCTTGCGCACTGTTAACTGAACTCGTCGGCGACTCGAAACGAAATGAAATGACAAAACGAAATGAAACGAAATGAAGAGGCGGACCGGACAGCGCGCTAACGGGCGGTCCGCCGGCAAGGAACACGCTCGTTGAAACGAGAGAGCGCTGGGAAAAGAGAGCGATTGCAGTGTCAGTTTCAGAGGATGCGAAAGAGATAAGAGAAGGAAGGACGATGCAAGCTGTGTGTGTGGGTAAGTTCCTTTCTTTGGTTTTTTTATTTAAGGAATTAAGAAATTGGGTGTTTATAAATAAAATAAATTATAAAATAACTAAAATATCTATGCAACTAAGAAAGTACGTTTTAACTTGTTTAGACTGTGATCTGTATAATGGTCTTAATCGTAATTGATTTAATATTTACAAGCAAGAACTACATACACCTTGTAAGGTTTGAGAACTTTTCTAAAACTTAAATTGCAGGTCTCTGGAAAACCGTTATGTGTTTCGTATTCATTTCACTAAATTTGCTATTTGCAAGTCACGGTTCCGTTATTGCCGCGAATTCTCTTTACATTTCGAATGCGCCGCCCATCAATTATTTATTTATTTATGAGCAAGTGACGCACTTGTTTTCCTTATTTCAGATGTTTTATTTGTTGCAGCGGATGACTTTATCGAGATTTTTCCAAAACAAAAACCATTGTGACTCACTGCCACGCCCCCAAGAATTCCAGTTAAAACTTTAACGATTTTGTGGTCACATCTTCGCTCTCTTTCAGGCACTCCAATTATGTGCATTTGCTGGAATTCGAACTATTTGGAACTGCTTACCCTTCCCAAAAACCGTTGGATCGTCTGTTGATCCGCGCTCTTAAGTTCCATACAACCGCAAATACCTTCCACATGCGTTCCACAGCTTATTAAGATCGCCCGTTTCACGCATTCCCATCGTTCGCGCGCATTTTTGATGTGTGTGTGTGTGCGGAAGAAATTCACTTGTTTCTTTTCTCGCTCTCATTTTTACGTTTTTACTACGAAACCCAAGACGGCTGTTAGAGCGAGATGCAGCGAAAACAAAACAAAATTAAGGGGGAGCGCAAACTGCAGTCGCTGCTCTGCCGACGGCGACGTCGACGTTGACGCTGCCGTTCTTTCGTCATCAGATTTTCCCCCCTGACTTATGTAGATGTTTTCCGTTGTTGTTATTTTTGAGATGCAATTTTTCAAATCTTTATTTGCGGTTGCTACTTTGCTCTATTCAAATGTTGAATTTCCTATTTGACTAGATTTTTCTTTATGTACATATGTATGTACATTTGAAAATATGTTTTCCAAAGAAAATTTAAAATGTTTTTACCAATGTTCACCAATGGTGTGATTTCTGCCAATGCTTTACTTATTTTGGCAAGTTTTTTCTTAAGTTTTATGTTTTTGTTTGTTTTAAAATTTATCAATTTAGATAAACTCTTTTTATGTTTTTTTTTTTGGTTTTTTATTATACTTTAAAAACTATGTTTAATTTTTAAAATGCGAAATACATATATAAATTGTTAGCTGTATAAATTAAGCTGTTTTCTATGTAAAGCGTTAGTTTTGTGTAAACCTTAGAGTTCAATTGCGTTTCCAAAATATATTTTTCACTCCAGGTTATCTCATTATCGATAAGATAGGCATAAGATACTTATGTACATAAATAGTCGGAAATAATTGAATGCTGAAGAAATTTTTGAACAAATGATTAACAAAAGTGAAATACATATGTACATACATATACATATATACACAGATTTATAAATGGGTTCCCTCCTTTTTTATCATTTCAAACATTGTTATAAATTGTTAATCCTAAACTATGTATCTGCAAACTCTAGAGATTTTAGCGAACTGATCGCAAATAAATAATTAAGTGCCATTTTTCATACTTTAGTCGTACAGTTTAATTTCGTTTTTTTTGCCCTTTGCTTTTAGCATTTTCAGGCTAATTCATTTGTTAATGAGCAAACACACTGCTGTTGTTTTTGCTTTGCGGTTCTTTCTTTTAGCTAAAAAGTATTTCGGAAATTAGCATTTTTAATGGGCAGTAAGCTAAGTTCGGCGAGACACAATGTCGCCTAAAAAACGAATGGAGGGGGATCCGAAAATATTTTTAAAATTCCCATTTGCATACACAATATTTTCGTTGCTGCTCAAATACTTAGCATAAAAAATGAATTTCTCAAAACTCCAGCCGAAATCGAACAACAAAGTTCGGTTTGTGTTTGATTTTTGTTTTGGGTTTACGTTTCGATTTCAGTGTTAGTTTTGAGGCATTCCAGAGTCGATCTCACAATCCGAATCATTAGCGAAGAAATACAAGCCCAACATAGAGAGATCGATCTTGAGGCTAAGTTTTCAGTTTTAAATTTTGAGTTTTCGGTGGGTCGCGAGCGCTTTGTTCACCTGTTTCGGTCTGGTCTCGTTTAATTG